ATCTCCGCTACACCAATTTTATGTACGTGTTGATGTTTCACCGCCCGAACTAGCGACCAAATTAATTTCATATCTCATGAATTAATTTTGAATGAGATGATCAATTACATAATAAAAAAGACAAATATGTGATTATACAATTGGCAATTGGATAGATTTTTAAGATTTCTCCCATCGCAGATTTACATCTTTCACAAGTCCCGTTACTTGATGTCTAATTTTTTCCTCGATTGTTCGAAGAATCATAATTTCTTCATAAGAATCCTAATTAGTATTTAAAAAAAATCATAATCCATCATAAATTAAACAAGACTAATGTGTATTATGTGCATTATACAAATCCTATGACTCATACATTATTCAAATACTATGAGAGGGATGGACGCGCCTTTAAAGTGAGTGTAAGGAGTGATTGGTGCTTATCCTGAAGCTTTCATACGACGGCAAGACGTACCAAACTAATCTATCTCTATCTCAATCTCGAGAAATTTTTTATTATGACGGAAACACGAGTAGTACATCATATGTTTTTATGTAAATAGTGAAAATTTTTATTTTTTAAATTATTAATTTTTTAATATATATATTATACTATTTGTATAATAACATATAATGTATCACTCCGTGTATCGATTAAACTGAAAAATCTCACCTCAATCTCAATCTCAATCCAGTCCGTCCAAACTAATGAAAGAAAGGAAAATCTAGTATCTTCTCGTACCAGTTCAGTCCAAGACTCCAAGCCATGTTTGACAATCCAACACTTGGCACACCAAGGATTGGACAGTGGGAAACCTACCCAACAGCTGGCCCTGGCCCACCGGCCTCTGTCCTAACCCGGACTGGATTAAACTTTGGAAGAGGATCTCTTCGATTTCACTTTAAGGTTATCATATTTTAATCGTTTATTATATATTATGTAGTTAATTTTTATCAGATATTATTTATATTTAATTTTAATAAATAATTAAATAATTTTTAACAGCACGATTCATAACGAATAACTAAAATATGAGAATTCTTAAAATTATTACAATTTGAATCCGAATAGGATGCACCCAAACAGCCCCTTCACACGGTCCTATTTGGTCAAGAGTCAAGACTCAAGACGCCGCGTATTTAAAAGATTCTTTTTTTATTTTTGTTGGGCCGGGAAACTTTTATTTCGATCGGTTGGGCCGACGAAGCCCTAATTGGGGCCCTGGGTGGGGCCCAGTCGCTCGGTTTTTCTTCGCCGTCGCGTTCCACAGCGATTGAGTTTTCTTCTCCGCTGTCGCCGGAGTATTGTCGCGAGGAAGAAGGAGGTGAAGCGGCGGAGTTTTTGGTGCCCGAAGCAGCGGCGGCGGCGATCAATGAGGGGATTGTGGAGGAGGCTTGGGAAAATCGTGAATGACATCTTTATCAACACCGGTCGCTTGAGCTCATTCCCTGAAAAATGGCAGGTACACAAGTGTGCATAAGTAGAATATCATGGAGAGGGTTATGATGCAATCCGTGGAAAAACACGCGGCGAAGCTTTTTTTTTTTTTTTTTTTTTTTCTGGAGTTAAATTCTGCATGCAAGGTCCGTCCGGAGGCAGTGAGATCGTCGTGTGCTATTTGCATGGTGGACTTTTTCTGCGTCCAAGAAAAAGATAATTACTCGGTTGCCATGCCTGCACCTTTATCATATAAATTGCATTGCAGGGTGGCTGCGTACCAAGCAATTGTGGTGCCCACTGTGCCGGTATCTCATGCCAATGCCAATTGAGGAAGCGGCCAGGCCGCCAGAACCCTCAGAGAAGAATTTGCTTAAGCTGTTCATGATGTCTGCAGGTGGTATATCATTAACTTCTGTGATTCTCCGCAGATTATTGAAAAAGTAAAGTTAGAGACAGTTGCAGCAAAGTTAATTAGGGGATGCAAAATATGAACAGCAATAGCTGAAGCATGTCTTGTATTGTATTGGCCATGTATTTGGCTGTTTTATTTTCCTCCAAGATTTTGAACCTACGAATCAACCTTAAGTTATATATTGTCATGATCCGAAATTTTTTCATGTATATAGCCTACATTAATTCTATTGTGTTTGAGTCGTTATTAATTCCTCCCTTACGAACTTGCAGAGTGAGATTTCTTCTGCATTATAATCTGCCGCAGAATTAACAAGAGATTGCTTCTGCATCATAAATCCTTAGGATTTTATTTGAATGACAGCAACGTAAAAGGACAGCATGATCCAAATACATGGTATGAAGGACAACATTTAGCTGCATGTGATGAATCATATACAAGAAAATTAATATTAGGTTTTTTTTTTAGGTCAACAGTATTAGCTAGGGTTAATTTTTCGTGCAAAACAAGGTAAACAGTTGAAGACAAAAACTGTATGACTGCCTTGGATAGAAATACAAGTTCATATTTACACTGGACTAATTTCTAAATTGATTCGGGAGAGAAGTACAAGTTCTTATCGTGTAATCCGATTCTTCTACCATACTTTTCTCAAAAATAATAAATAAATTCCTCTTTTCTTGTAAATCAAGTTAGGTTTAAGAAATTATATTAAATTCCTCTAAATTGAGTCTCCCTAGCATTACCCATCCATAATTCCATACTATATATCTTCGTTAAATTCTCTCTGTTAATTTAATAGTTGGTGCCTATAATACTATGTCTCAGATATCTGGGCGCTACATACAAGTCCGGTCACGGGAACCGGAGAGTACAAGCGAATCCCTGGCGGAGGTACTGGAAAGCAATGACAATAACGACGCGGTTCGTATCAAATTGCAGTTCTTCAAGGTGATTGGTTTGGTTGATTCAGAAGATGCAATTGCTTCTTTTCCAAGAGACGTTACTTTTGGAGAAGAATACTTCGTAGGTGAAAAACCAATTAGGGTTTGTCTTTCTCGTTTCAAGCTGTTATCTGATGAAGAAAAGAGTGTGTATGTAAAACAACAACTGGCTGGATGTCTGGGGGAAATATTGGGTGTCCCGGAAAGGCTGCAGCCGGAATACATTAAGAAGATATCTCTGCAGGTTGGATTCGCGGTCTCCTCGTGGCCTATTCATCACGTGGTCATGATAACGGAGGCGAGTCTAGAATTACATAGGCTCAAGTTTACTCCTGCTACTAAATCATCCATTGAGGGTTTGGAGAAACTAAGACCACTTGACCTTTGTTTGGAAGATAAAGATCATACAGCGTCGTCGTGTGTCATCTGCATGAAGGGTTTTTTGGGTTTTGACCATGATGAAGCTGCTTCAACTAGTACTCTTGTGAAGGAACTTACTCGCCTGCCCTGCTTACACCTTTATCATCATGATTGCATTGTGCGATGGCTAGGGATCAGTCACTTGTGTCCGATTTGCCGTTTCCCAATGCCAACCGTGGAAACTGGCGAGCCATCTGAACCGTCACGCCCAAGCCTAATTCGAGAAGTGAGGGAGTCACCAGAATCCTCAGACCGGGCACTGATTGTGGAAGCGAGCCAGCCATCACAGCCCTCAAACTCAATGCGATTTGAGGAAGCGGATGAGCCAGTAGAACCCTCAAACCCAATGCCATCGCAGCGCTCAAGGATGCGTTGGCCTTCCGTGCTCATGATGTCTGCGGGTGGTGCAATGACTGCTGCCCTTCTTTGCAAATTATTGAAGCGCCACAATTAATCAAAAGGCCAAAATATGACTCTTGTTATGATCAATTCCTGCATTAATTGTTCATAGTCAATTTGACTAGAGCATTACGCTCCTCCCTCATCACCCCAAGTTCAAATTCCTCTTCTCGTAGTTTAGGTTAGGATAATAATATCGCTTTCCCCTGCAATGTGGGTTTGTATATATTCTTGTGCTTTTTTAATTCCATACCCAAATTTTGCTGTAATTTGTGACCAAGCCATTGCTTAACTTTTATCATTGCTATTTCAAGGAATTCAAAATACGTCCGAATCCAAATGTGGAGGGTTTACATTACTTTTTAGTTGAAGTTTTAAGGAGATGAACCTTAATTGTCCCGAAACTCCACACCGACCTCAAAAGAAACAGCAAGAAACCGAAATATGTCCTTTCGTGGGTTCAAGAGTTTGATACACAAGAAGAAAAAGACACATCAATGGGCATGATGGGATGTCTAAAAGGATTGTACGTGCCTAATAAATAACAAGCATGATAAACTGTGCTTGTTGAGTACGTAAGCGTAGTCAGTAGCAACGCTGACTATAGCATATGTGCTCCTCCTATGCACTCGAGAAGTAAAATATCGTTCATTGAGTTCACAAGGGGCGGATATTAAGGCCAAGTTTCTCCTTTTGCAAAGAACAAACAAGGGCAACTTGTTCTTTTAGAAAGCAAAGGATTATCAAATTTTAATTGAAGTAAGAAAATCGACCAGGAGGAGACAATATTCTCGATTACAGACCACCATATGCCACTCATGAACTCCTCCCTCGACAACTTTAACTTTTTGATTCAGTGCCATGAAAAATAAAACACAACAACCTAAACTAAACTAAACAAAAGTACCCCCAAAAACAGTAGAAAGAAGAGCACAAAACAAAGAACACAGATCCTCTCCGGATCTGTGCAACCGGAGCCCCGGAATCAATGGATCCGAACCATTCAAATTTGATCAAACAGCTATAAACAGAAAATCCCTCTAAAAGTTATAATAATTATAGTTGTTGAATCAAATTTCAATGGTCCGGATCCATTAATCCCCGGGCTCCGGTTGCACAGATCTGGAGAGGATATGTGTTCCAAAACAAAAAGGTCAAAAAAAAATAAAGATTCTGCAGCATAGATTCCCGATTTGTTTAGAACCCAAAACATGAGATTTAAATCCGAGGAGATCATTCTTTTTTGCCTTTCTCAATTTCATAACACTTTTCTTTTTTTGGCAACCATCTCTTGCTTGCAATATCCAACTTACCCAATTCCCCCTTTCACAAGTTTGCTATATTCTCCCTCCCTTCTCTCTTTTCGTCTCTCTTCGATCCAAGAAAGCTATGATTCTTCCTCCACATATATATAAAATATATATGCAGAGAAAGGACGTAAACTCTTCTTTTTCGCAACACCTCCGCCATTGCTGTTCCTCTTGTGTAGTATATCTTGGCTTCTGCATCGTTGTTTTGAGCCAGGGAGATTACCTGCAATCACAATAACCTGCAAACACACCAAGTGTAGAAGAAGAGAAGTAGCTAGGAGAGATGGGAGTTGGCTCGCTTCGGCATTCTGTATTGTTTTTCTTGTTTCTTCTCTTTAGTTCAGGTAATTTTGCATTTCGTTAGTCTCCATTTCTGCCTGGTTCTGTTTCTCTTCCGTGTGTTTCAACACGAGCCTTCCGACCACCAACTTGCTCATTTCCTGACATGATCATCAAGTTTCCTTCATGTCTATGGATTTATGAAGAGATTAAGATTACTATTTCTAACGAGCACTGGATTCGGAAACCAGTCTCTTCTTATTTCGAAAGTATGTGATCATCAAGCACATCTCTACGCCTTGCGACAATTTCGAGTCAAAACTACATGAATTTCGCTAATCCACCTCCTTTGCATATGATCCAAGCATAGGAAACAAGATTATATGCAAGCACAAGAAGCATTTCTTAAATCTGATAACTCTTTCAAATTTATCCAAGCATAGGAAACTAAAATTTTCCATTTATTTCAATGAAAGAATAATAACTTACCATGCTTTTCATATCTTCAGGTTCAAGTGTTCCAAAGAATCCTCCTTTGGAAGCAACCCACCAAAGCAAAACGCAAGTGAATCAAGAAAAACATATAGTTTCCTCATCTTCGGTGTATACTACCCAGCTCGATGATATTCCCATTGTCAATCCAAGTCCAACAACAACAACTCCCACACCATTTGTGAACCCAACAATATCCCCACCATCACCAACCACAACTCCAACCACAATACCACCGACCCCGCCCCTAAGCCCGACAACTCCCACCACAACTCCAACGTCCCCGACAACTCCCACCACAACTCCATCATACCCTACAACTCCCACCACCACTCCATCATCCCCGACAACTCCCACCACAACTCCATCATCCCCGACAACTCCCACCACAACACCATCATCAGGTGGTACTTGGTGTATTGCAAGCCAATCTGCTTCACAAAATGCCTTGCAGGTAGCTCTTGATTATGCTTGTGGCTATGGAGGAGCAGACTGTTCAGCAATTAATCAAGGTGGAAGCTGTTATAACCCAAACACTCTTCACGATCACGCTTCCTACGCCTTCAACGACTACTATCAGAAGAACCCATCTCCTACCAGCTGCAATTTCGGTGGAACAGCTCAACTCACCAACACTGACCCAAGTAAGACATTTCTAGAAATTTGTTTCTATCAAGCTTATCACTTGTCCTAAAAACTTCACTTATCAAAGAAAGAAACACAGAAAGAACTCTCCATTTATTTCAATTGCAAATAGCCTTCTGAACATATAACTCGATATAACTTATACCTATAGCGTCCTAGCTCTTTTTCCAAAAGTTTCAGATCCGCCAATTAACAAATTCAATTCCTGACCTTGCTGTTCTTGTTATGTGTATGCTTAATAAATACTGAACTCCTTGCTCTGCCAAATTGCAGGTACTGGTAGCTGTCGCTTTGCATCTTCCTCATCATCAACCAGGTAACCTTTCATAGCCCTACCTCCACTTAAAGTAAAACAGAAATCTAATTCTACTTTGCAAATTCAGCATGAACTCACCACCGACAACAATGACACCACCAACGCCAACGATGTCAACAACACCACCAACAATGACATCCCCATACACCCCAAGCATCGCTACACCAGGTGGAGGATCAACAATTTATGGTGACTCGCCAACAGAATCCCCGAACTCAGCAACCTCTATCTCATCTTGCATGCTACCGCTATTCATCATGACTGGGATCTTGGGGTCATTTCTCGCAGAAAATTATGTCTAAAGGGAAACTAAGTTTCAGCTATTCTATTGGCGGTTAGATGGCAAACCATTCATTTGCCAGCATCCTACATAAAGTTCAACGAGGCCCTGAGATCAAAATGAGCTACTATGTTATCGCTAGGCCTTGTTCCTCACCATTTAAATTACTACCATACTTCATCTATGTACACCCAATAGTTGACTATTAAGCCAAAGGACAGAAAAGCATAGATATTTTTTAGGTTCTTGTACGTGTAGGACATATAGGTCCTTTATCTCCAGTTTTAGTACAATAAATTATTAGTTAAGGTCACCAGACTTCAGCTCCTCTTTATATATAAACCGATAAAATGCTTACTACATGATATTAGCTAGTGCATTATATCTAGGATACCAATGAGTAACACATACATAGACATATGACAGTAAAAGGTCTAGTAATGAAAATTAATGACCTAACTAGAAAGAATGGATGTAACCGATGGAATGACCTGTCTTATCTGGCATACCACATTAGATACTACAGAAGAATCGGTATTCAAATATACAATATATTTCCTCTTATCAACAAACACATAAGAAATTTACCAAACTTGTACCCTACTCTCTTGGAAGACGAAGACATCAGATACCTAAGCTCTTCTTAATTTGCTTCTTATAAAATGTTGATACAAGTTATTTCAACAATAAAATTTTCCTTAATTCATATTATTTACTTTCATTATAGATTCCAATATAATCATCAAAACAATTAACAAAATTTTGTGCATTCAAATGGCTAGGTAGCTGACCCAGTTCTGCACCATGCCAATAGTATAATCTCCACATCCCAAAAATGGCATCACTTTACTTAAAAGTAAAGCTTTCCAAAAACCACCTCCAGCAACGAGGGGTTAAGACACTCCAAAAGAAAAATATGAGAGCAAGTAAAGAGGACAATCCTTGTGCGCATGGGAAGATCAACTTGATGGCTAACTTATCAAACACGAAACAGGATGCACAATGCACAAAGATTGATTCATGTTAATGTATCTCAATGGTCTAAAGTGAACCATTTGATGTGTCTTGGCATCATAAAATTATGATTGAAAATGAAGGGCAACAACCTGCCTCTGAGCTGATAATCTCTTTTATTACTGTACATACGAATTATTCAAGAGTACAAAATCAGATGACATATTACGCAATATAACACGGAAATGAAAGGTAACTAATAACTATTATCAGACTTACTGCCTATTTACAATAAACTCAGAACAGGAACAAGCATGACAAAGCAGTGATAGAAACGATGGCTAAGGTAGCAATAATTGAACCTCGGTCAAATGATCTCTCCAAGCTTCCTATTCGTGAGAAGTGCTGGAAAGCCAAATATGCTACAATGACCAGTGAAATAATAGCACCTTCTTGTCTTCCCCTGCCAATGGAACAAATTGAAAAATAAGAACCGAGAAAATCACAGATAATTGGGCAAAGTTGGTCTCAAACAATGCATTTGCACACCTGAGTTTTAGAACTTGGTAAGGAGCCACAATCACGAGGAGGAATGCTGTCAATGGCAACTCAAGTTCTCCTGAGAAAGAACAAAATAAGACCATATCAAATATTAATTGACAGAGGATAATTGAAATGGCAACTGCACCACTATATTAACACACCTCAATTTCAAATAAGTAGAAAACAGAACCAAGACTTAGAGAAGAGCAAAGTAGCAAATCAACACATTTAATTTCACATTTTCTTTTATACCTACGATCCGGACATGGTTCAAAAACTTAAAAAGTCAGTATACTGAAAATAAGGGCATCTTCAAATACTATAATAGCGATCAAAGACGGGTATATTACAATAAACGGGTTGTTCCCCCTAATGGAATAAAACCAATATAGTTAACTAACCATACCGAAATTAGAAACTATTATTCGAGAAACCCAGATAACTCTGCCAATTTAGATTTGTGTGAGAAAACCAGATAACACTCCCCGTTTAGCATTGTCAAGCCTACACTCAAACCAAGGAATCAGAGTTTAGCAGAGAACCTACCAGGAATAAAGAAGAAAAGACGAACAAGAAGGGCTAGGAAGGCAGCCCAGATACCATATTCACCCCTGCAAGCCAAACTCATGAACGTCAGCCAACTTATACATTTAACCTTAGACCGCAAACGTTCTCCACAGGATACCAAACTTTCTAGCAATAAAACACAGCAAACAGAACGAAGACAATAACCCAATTTCTTGAAATGCTTACTTAATCCATGAGACAACGGTAGCTGGCGCTTGTAGGAGAAATAAGGGAACAAGAAATGATTTAACAGCAGTCCCTTTTGCAAGCAACAAAACCCTGGAAATGTGAGAAATTTGAATACCCATTAAAGCATCAATCCATCTCGCTCAACATCTCAATACCGAAAGTAGAAAACTTTCATGGAACCTCGAAAGATAAATTAGAAAGAGAAATTATATTCACACACCCCAAATTACTTCTCCCACACCTTTTTAATTTTTTAATATTGTTGTGTAGAAAATATTAAAAAATTAAAAAGGTGTGGGAGAAGTAATTTGGGATGTGTGAATATAATCTCCCATTAGAAAAACACCCCCACAACTTTAATTTTTTTATACAAAAACACTTCAAGAGCTCGATTGGATTAAAAAAAATTATAAAAAGACCTTATCAAGTGAGAGAGAAAGAGAATTACGCAGAAGAAATGGTGGAGATCCACTGGAGGCTGTTGACAGAGAGAGGTGCAGCGTAACACATCGCACCCGATCCCCTCCTCTTACCCTTCATCGCCATGAATTCCTTCTTTCCGCCAATCGAAACTCTGCCCAAAAACCAGAAACGACGGGGTTGTATGCAGAGCTCGATTGATATCTGAAGCTTTGAGAGTGAAATTACGAAATTACCTGAGAGGGTTGCGGTGGAGTGATCTCAGAAGAAGACAAGAGAGCTTGGCCGGCCTCGGTTGAAAGGCGGAGAATTTGGAGGTGGTTGTGCTCCTGCTGCTGACGCCGTAGAGAGAGAAATTCCGTTGTGACGTGGAGGAGAGTGAGAGAGTCGCCATTTTTGTAATTTCTGCTTTCTGCTTTTATCTACTTTCTGCTTTCTGCTTTTTTCTGCTTTCTGCTTTCTGCTTTTATGGCTTCGAGTTCGAGGACACAGTGAGACGAACGCGGAACGCGAGAGTGTAGTTCACTATTTCGCGGCAAATAATTTGGATCCATGACTGGAGCAAAAAATAATCATACGATACGTGGATATTTTGATAAAAAATGATAAGAATACTTTTGAGGTACATTGGAATTCCTACGCGTGAGTAACAGAGAATTATCTTTCAACAAAATAAAAAATGCTCCAAAAGAGGTAACCAATTCAAAGTCAATCTCATCAAATTCCCTTTTGCAAGGTAACCTACAAAATAATGTTAACTAGTTAATTAATGGATTAATTACCCACTTAATCTATTAAACATCAATTAAATTACTCAATTAATCACAAAATATATCTCATTCACCCTAAAAATAGGTAGTGGCCGGCCACCTCACATTCTTCTTAGTCTTTCTTACTTTTTCCCATTTTACTACCCCATCTATACAAATAAATAATTTTATAACCTCTCATTTACTTCTTTCATACTTAATTAGCCAATAAATTGGCTAATTAAGCCAAAATCATAACCACAAAAACATCAAGGCCGGCCACACCAAGGGGAAAAAGGTAAGCAATCCTATAAATAGGACCTATTCCACCAAAAGCATTCCAATTCTCTTACAAAAATCTCAAATACTTAAACACTATCCTCTAAAATTCTTTGATCTAGGTTCTTCGGCCAAAGCCCCCCTTCATCGTGGCGCGTGAGGCTGCCTTAACTAAGGTGCAGGTTGTTTGTTGGTGCAAATCGTCTTAGATCGAAGGAGTTTGCATCCCAAAATTGATGCTTTCATTGAGAGTTGAAACATACTCTAGAAGACTCTAGCACAAAATCCTTTTTCATTCTAGTCCATTTGAAATATTTTTCATACGTTCTTATTATTAGAATTTTTTTATTTGCAAAGGTTCTTTGATAAAACTGTGGAGCAAAAATCACAAGGCGACACGTGGATTTTTGGACCAAAGACAAAAATACCTTGCAACAACGAGGTTCCTACGCGCAAGCAGCGGGCAACCCTCTTTAACCAACGAAGTGCCCAAAATAGTAACAATTCAAAGTCCATCTCATCAATCCTTTCTACAAGGTAATTCCCAAACACATTCCTTTTAAAATTATGTTAATTGGCTAATTAATGGGTTTATTGGCCTAATTAACCCATTAATTGTCAATTAACCATCCATTATATCCAAATAACCACAAAATACATCCAATTCAACCCTAAACACTACATGGCCGGCCATCCCTTAGCTTCTACCTTCCAATCTTTTCCCTTTATTACCCAAATAAAGCTAATCATTCAATTTTGATAACCCCCCTTTGTTTCTATCATATTTTATAGCAATAAAGTGGCTAATTTAACCACAAATCACCAAAAAATGGACAAAGTGGCCGGCACTTCCTTTGAAAAAGTGGACCAACCTAGTCCTATAAAATAGGGACCATTTTCACCAAACACTCATTCCAACCTCTTGCAAAAAAATCTCAAATACTCTAAACACTATTTCTCTCTAAAATTCTAGCTTTGGCATCGGAGGTTCTTCGGCCAAAGCCCCCCATTCATCGTGGGCGCGTGAGGCTTTTGGCCTTAACCTAAGGTGATAGTTGTTTTGTAGGTACAAAATCGTCCAAGATCGAGGAGGAAAATTTGCATCCAACATTGGTGCTTTCATTGAGAGTTGAAATCCATACTCGTAGAAGACTCTCGCACAAAAAGGTTTTTTCTTTATTTTCTAGTCCATTTGAATATTTTTCATACGTTCTTATTATTAGAATTTTTTACTTGCAAAGTTTCTTTGATAAAACGTATAAGAAAAATATAATGGCTAGAAATTTAGAAAATTCCACAAGTGAAAATTCTAATATTCAAGAAATGAGATTGCGGAGATCCGTGAGGCTAAATGCGACAATAAGTGAAGCGGCACCACCACCACGAGTTTCCACCACGGGAAGCACCGCGGTGGCTACTTCGGTAGTCACCCGTGGCGAGGTCCATGGTGCTTTCACCACGGCCCGAGCCGTGCCATCCAAGGCTCACGGCACAAAGGCCACGACCCAAGCCATGTCACTCCAAGCCCAACGTGAATTTAACGCGTTGCCAAGCTAAGCCCAAACCTCGCACCCATGTGCATCACACTCCGAGCAGCCTGCTCCAATCGAGCAGCCCACTCTCGTGGCCCAACCTGCTCTCACAGCCCATCCTGCTCCCGCCGAGCAGCCTGCTCTCGTGGCCCAGCCTGCTCTCGACGAGCAGCCTACTCCCATGGTCCAGCCTGTTCCAGCCAGCCTGCTCCTGCTGAGCAGCCTACTCTCGCAGCCCAGCTTGCTCTCGAGGCCCAGCCTGTTCATGCGTCCCAGTCTGCTCCCATGACTTTCCAAGCAGCCCAAGTCGGCCCAAGACTATCTCAACCATCCAGACCTACCATCGAGCCGGGGGCATTCTCACCATATTTTTTTCGTGAATTTGACATTTCCCAACTCAAATCTCGTGCCCGGAGTCTACCACTCTTCCATTGCCTAAGAATGCACATTCCTTCCAATCTCTTCCAACCCAAATGGAGAACAACACTTGTCTCGACAAGTCATAGAGTTGACAAGCGTCTTCGCACAGCAGACGACCTTGGTGAATCGGCTCTTGCAGCGCACCGAGATGCAACGTGCCCCAGACGAGGTGTCCCGAAGTAGGACAAGGGCAGACAAAGAACCTCGCCAGCAGCGTCTCGGTAAGCAGCCACTCGACCAGTCACGAACCGAGCGTTTAGGCAGTGTGCACTCCCGATTGGGCCCCCGAGATAGCGTATACTCCCGTTTTAGAGTGTGGATGAGCGTGCACTCTCGACTAGGCCCACAGACGAGCATACATTCATGGTTAAGGTCACACTCCGATAGTCAACCTGAGCAGCCTTCCAGGCGAAGTGTTCGTTTGCGGTTAAGCCCTCAAGGAGCATCATCCACCTCACATCGGAGTAGGCAGCCCGACGGATGGAGAGAAACAGTCACTCAATACGGCTTAAGTGCAACCGGCAGCCTGCGAAGAACTCGATCGCCTGCTAGGAACGCGCTACATGCACTGCATCCGGGGCATAGACAAGCCAAACACATGGAAGAGCAGCCTAGACCAGCAAGTCACGGTTGAGGGCAGCCGAGAGCTCCGCTACCTCAACAAAAACAAATTCAGGAAGAAGTAGATAAACTCTTGACCAAGCGATTGCGCAATTTCCAACGCAATGAGGTCATCGACGAGGCACTACGATGGAACATGACCAACATAAGCAGGTCCATCTTTCACGGACAAGATCGAGCAAGCAGAGCCTCAACGCGAGTTTAGCATGCCACATTTCACATCTTTAAAAGGGGATGAAGACCCGGAGAGACACTTAAAGCACTACCGAAGCACAATGATCCTCTATCGAAACAACGACGGTCTCATGTGCAAGATATTCGCCACCACTCTACAAGGCGAGGCGCAAGATTGGTTCTACACCCTGCTGCCACAATCTATCCGGAATTTTGACGAACTTTTTTTTGGTTTTCACCAAAGAATATTCATCCTATCGCTCGATCAAAAAGAAGTCCGACCATTTGTTCGACGTCAAGAAAAACCCAAATGAGTCGCTTCGAGACTATGTGAGGAGGTTCAAAACAGAAAAGGCAAAAATAGTCGGATGTAACGACTCGATAGCTAGAGCAGCCTTCCAAAAATGACTTCCAGCGGACCACCCACTATTCGAAAAATTGATAATGAAAGAATATCTAACCCTGGCAGACTCTTTCGCTCTGGCAGAAAAGCATGCACTTTGGGACGAAGTTCAACGATCTTGAATATGAAGTTCCCCACTACTCTGAATGAGATTCAAAATCTGACTGGACGAGTAGTCACATCTGAAGCAGAAATAAGCTCTACCATCATACGAGAAGAGTTAGGGGCCCGACTACCTATATTCCACAATTTAAAAGCTCTCATCGATGCTATTAGTTGTATTCCACAGTTTAAAAGCTCATATTGATGTTATCAGAAATTCAAAAGCTAACTTTGGCAATAGTTGTTGTAACCTAAAAGCTCAAGTTTTACCTTCAAACGCACGCAGTCATCATCATGATGCACCATTCTGTTGAATCCAGACGTGCGATAAATGAGTAGACCTTAGTGGATGCAAAGCTTTCTGACGAACACAACAACTCAGCTTAAAAGACACGCCAAGGGCAGAAGAACATTGGAAGGAACACTTAGAAGCAAGTTTTGTCCTCGTCGTCCCAGAAGATTCTACATAAGAGCAACATGTACCGGCAGTTGAGCACTACCTTCTGCAGTGCGTCACACGGCCCTAGCCGACCCTTACTCCATTATTCAGCTCTAGAGTGGCCCAATATCGAAATTTAAGCATATCCTGCTACATGTAACATGGCCCTAGCTCCACGGCTCCCTGCCGAGCCTTCACGCCTAGCCTTGACAACGCAACAGAGCAGCCTAATGACGCCCCGAAGGCAGTCGAGCACACTTTAGCTGCACCTACTCCCTCAATGGAGATTTCTGGCATTTGCATGTCAACGGCGCATCCAACTATAAAGGCTCGCGAGCAGCCGTGGTTCTTATCACCCCAAACGGTTCAATGCTCGAGCAGGCGATCACTCTGAGTTTCAAAGCATCTAACAACGAAGCAGAGTACGAAGCTCCACTAGCAGGCATTCGAATGAAAAAAGACTTGGCGGTGAAAAGCTTTCAATTCATTCTGATTCCCAACTAATCACCAGCCAGACTACTAGGGGCAAAGGCATGATGATCGTGGCAACTGACTACTTCACCAAATAGGTAGAAGTAGAGCCCATGACGACCACGATTCATACGGACATAGAGCGCTTCATATGGAGGAACATCATTCACTGATTTGGCATCCCTTAATCCATCATCACCAACGATGACCCGCAATTCGTGGGCAAAGATTTGGTGAAGTTCTTCCAAAAATATGGCATAAAACAGCATA